TGTTCCACATTTGAGATGATGCCTTTCCTTCATAAATGTCTCAGTGTTTGACAGTGGTGTGTTCCCCAGCAGCTGGTTTTGCTCGGTAATTATCCCAATACATAAGAAAAGAATATTCAACAACCCAGACAACCATTGGGGAATATCTTAAATGAGTTTTCTTGGGAAGACTTTTATATGTAGCACTTAATTCGAAAATTCCGAATCGGCTCATATGCGAGACAAGATTCCCTGAAGTGAGGCTGGTTTTAGGAACAAAACATTCAACGTCAGATGGTATATTGACATTATATACAATAAAAAATGTAATTTGATTTAAAACTTTCATAAACTGATTTTATTTTCGCATAATACACAACTCCTGGTGGGTATTTCATATATCTTATCTTTGAAAATCAATAAATTTGCTTTTTTCGGCCCAAATTTACACACATTTCAAACATGGAAGGGTTCATGTGGTTGTAAATTCATTTCTTACCCCAGTCTTCATTGAGCCAAAATCAATTTATTTTTACACAAACTTACCCAGCCACAGATTACTTTTTACAAACTGTTGCAGAGATGAGTGATGATTAAATAGATCAAATTTAACAGCAGTTCTTTGAATTTTTGAATTACAACAAAAACAAACTCGGTATACTCAGTTCTTTCTTTGTTGGTTGTTTGGTTGGTTCACACCGCACTCAGCAACATTTTCAATTACATAAACAACAAACTCAGTACATTTTCCGACTTTCGTGTCCAATCAAGATAGTTTTCACCAATCTATATGATGTGTCTACTTGAGGTCGCTGTCTACATGTGTGTCTACATGATGTGTCTACGTGAGGTCGCTGTTCAATGCATATCTACATGATGTGTCTACGTGAGGTCGCGGTCTACATGTGTGTCTACATGATGTGTCTACGTGAGGTCGCTGTCTACATGTGTGTCTACCTGATGTGTCTACGTGAGGTCGCTGTCTACATGTGTGTCTACATGATGTGTCTACTTGAGGTCGCTGTCTACATGTATGTCTACATGATGTGTCTACGTGAGGTCGCTGTTTACATGTGTGTCTACATGATGTGTCTACGTGAGGTCGCTGTCTACATGTGTGTCTACATGATGTGTCTACGTGAGGTCGCTGTCTATATGCGTGTCTACATGATGTGTCTACATGAGGTCGTTGTTTACATGTATGTCTACATGATGTGTCTACGTGAGGTCGCTGTCTACATGTGTGTCTACATGATGTGTCTACGTGAGGTCGCTGTCTACATGTGTGTCTACATGATGTGTCTACTTGAGGTCGCTGTCTATATGCATGTCTACATGATGTGTCTACGTGAGGTCGCTGTTTACATGTGTGTCTACATGATGTGTCTACTTGAGGTCGCTGTCTATATGCATGTCCACATGATGTGTCTACGTGAGGTCGCTGTCTACATGTGTGTCTACATGATGTGTCTACTTGAGGTGGCTGTCTATATGCATGTCTGCATGATGTGTCTACGTGAGGTCGCTGTTTACATGTATGTCTACATGATGTGTCTACGTGAGGTCGCTGTCTACATGATGTGTCTACGTGAGGTCGCTGTCTACATGTGTGTCTACATGATGTGTCTACTTGAGGTCGCTGTCTATATGCATATCTACATGATGTGTCTACGTGAGGTCGCTGTTTACATGTGTGTCTACATGATGTGTCTACTTGAGGTCGCTGTCTATATGCATGTCCACATGATGTGTCTACGTGAGGTCGCTGTCTACATATGTGTCTACATGATGTGTCTACTTGAGGTGGCTGTCTATATGCATGTCTACATGATGTGTCTACGTGAGGTCGCTGTTTACATGTATGTCTACATGATGTGTCTACGTGAGGTCGCTGTCTACATGATGTGTCTACGTGAGGTCGCTGTCTACATGTGTGTCTACATGATGTGTCTACTTGAGGTCGCTGTCTACATGTGTGTCTACATGATGTGTCTACGTGAGGTCGCTGTCTACATGTGTGTCTACATGATGTGTCTACTTAAGGTCGCTGTCTATATGCATGTCTACATGATGTGTCTACATGAGGTCGCTGTTTACATGTATGTCTACATGATGTGTCTACGTGAGGTCGCTGTTTACATGTGTGTCTACATGATGTGTCTACTTGAGGTCGCTGTGTACATGTGTGTCTACATGATGTGTCTACGTGAGGTCGCTGTCTACATGTGTGTCTACATGATGTGTCTACTTGAGGTCGCTGTCTATATGCATGTCTACATGATGTGTCTACGTGAGGTCGCTGTTTACATGTGTGTCTACATGATGTGTCTACTTGAGGTCGCTGTCTATATGCATGTCCACATGATGTGTCTACGTGAGGTCGCTGTCTACATGTGTGTCTACATGATGTGTCTACTTGAGGTGGCTGTCTATATCCATGTCTACATGATGTGTCAACGTGAGGTCGCTGTTTACATGTATGTCTACATGATGTGTCTACGTGAGGTCGCTGTCTACATGATGTGTCTACGTGAGGTCGCTGTCTACATGTGTGTCTACATGATGTGTCTACTTGTGGTCGCTGTGTACATGTGTGTCTACATGATGTGTCTACTTGAGGTCGCTGTCTACATGTGTGTCTACATGATGTGTCTACTTGAGGTCGCTGTGTACATGTGTGTCTACATGATGTGTCTACGTGCGGTCGCTGTCTACATGTGTGTCTACATGATGTGTCTACGTGAGGTGGCTGTCTGTATGCATGTCTACATGATGTGTCTACGTGAGGTCGCTGTTTACATGTGTGTCTACATGATGTGTCTACGTGAGGTCGCTGTCTATATGTGTGTCTACATGATGTGTCTACGTGAGGTCGCTGTCTATATGCATGTCTACATGATGTGTCTACTTGAGGTCGCTGTGTACATGTGTGTCTACATGATGTGTCTACGTGCGGTCGCTGTCTACATGTGTGTCTACATGATGTGTCTACGTGAGGTCGCTGTCTATATGCATGTCTACATGATGTGTCTACGTGAGGTCGCTGTTTACATGTGTGTCTACATGATGTGTCTACTTGAGGTCGCTGTGTACATGTGTGTCTACATGATGTGTCTACGTGAGGTCGCTGTCTACATGTGTGTCTACATGATGTGTCTACTTGAGGTCGCTGTCTATATGCATATCTACATGTGTCTACGTGAGGTCGATGTCTATATGTGTGTCTACATGATGTGTCTACTTGAGGTCGCTGTCTATATGTGTGTCTACATGATGTGTCTACGTGAGGTCGCTGTGTACATGCATGTCTACATGGTGTGTCTACGTGAAGTCGCTGTGTACATGCATGTCTACATGGTGTGTCTACGTGAGGTCGCTGTGTGTCTACATGATGTGTCTACGTGAGGTCGCTGTCTATATGTGTGTCTACATGATGTGTCTACGTGAGGTCGCTGTTTACATGTGTGTCTACATGATGTGTCTACGTGAGGTCGCTGTGTACATGCATGTCTACATGGTGTGTCTACGTGAGGTCGCTGTTTACATGTGTGTCTACATGATGTGTCTACGTGAGGTCGCTGTCTATATGTGTGTCTACATGATGTGTCTACGTGATGTCACTGTCTATATGTGTGTCTACATGATGTGTCTACTTGAGGTCACTGTCTATATGCATATCTACATGATGTGTCTACGTGCGGTCGCTGTCTATATGTGTGTCTACATGATGTGTCTACGTGAGGTCGCTGTGTACATGTGTGTCTACATGATGTGTCTACGTGAGGTCGCTGTTTACATGTGTGTCTACATGATGTGTCTACTTGAGGTCGCTGTGTACATGTGTGTCTACATGATGTGTCTACGTGCGGTCGCTGTCTACATGTGTGTCTACATGATGTGTCCACGTGAGGTCGCTGTGTACATGTGTGTCTACATGATGTGTCTACTTGATGTGTCTACGTGAGGTCGCTGTCCATATGCATGTCTACATGATGTGTCTACGTGCGGTCGCTGTCTACATGTGTGTCTACATGATGTGTCCACGTGAGGTCGCTGTCTATATGCATGTCTACATGATGTGTCTACGTGCGGTCGCTGTCTACATGTGTGTCTACATGATGTGTCTACGTTAGGTCGCTGTCTATATGTGTGTCTACATGATGTGTCTACGTGATGTCACTGTCTATATGCATGTCTACATGATTTGTCTACGTGAGGTCGCTGTCTACATGTGTGTCTACATGATGTGTCTACGTGCGGTCGCTGTCTATATGCATGTCTACATGATGTGTCTACGTGAGGTCGCTGTGTACATGTGTGTCTACATGATGTGTCTACGTGAGGTCGCTGTGTACATGTGTGTCTACATGATGTGTCTACGTGAGGTCGCTGTCTATATGTGTGACTACATGATTTGTCTACGTGACGTACTTGTCTGTATGACGTACGTGCATCTTCAGTGCGTCTGTCGAAATGGCGTGTGCGTCTATGTGACGTACTTGTTGTCAAAACGTGTCCAGAGCTCCAGATAACCTTTTGAGCAATTGAGTGTTTACTCTAGGGTTTCTTAATTTTAATTTGGTTATTTCATTTTTTATTGGGTAACCAATATTTTTTCACTCATCTATCCATCACTCTATTGGGTTTTCCCCCAAAATTAGTGAACATTTTAAGATTTAAAAAAAAAATGAAATAATGTTTTAGATGTATATAACTGTTTTAAATATAAAGGCTTGACTCGGAAGTAAATTAACTCGTAATTGTGTTCCGGAAATTAGCTCCTTTGTACGCATGCTGAAAAAGCTTCATTGGGTATTTACGCGAGCCGTTTTTATACATTTGAATTTTTCATTTAATGCATGCGTTTCTGTACGCAAGTTAATGGAAAGTAATTGGGTTTTGAATATTTTTTGGCTATTTTACACAAATACGCTGTTTATCTCTAGCTCTGAGTGTTATCTATATGACTTGTTGTAACGTGATTGTCCTCTTTGTCTTTATACGTGTCTTCTCTCCCACAGGCATGCCAAGGAGACAAGTTTATGAAGGGGTTGGAGACAGATGTCCCTGACGTCGTCCCAAGACCTAGACGTGTCGAAATCATCCCCGACGAGGCTGACTTTCTCCTCATGTTGTCAACCTGCCCCGGCTACGTGGCCCTGCGCAACATCGTCGAGGGATCTCACTTCATGCAAGAGCTCATCTCCACCATCAAGGGGAGCTCCGGCTGGACCATGATGGAGATCGCTATCAAGGTGTGCAACAGGGTTTCTAGGAAGGACTTCAATGGCCACAAGCAAGTGCCCTGTCTGAGATCAACCTTACGAAAGTCCGTCATTCTGCATTGATGTTCACGTGCATTACGTTAGGAGTTGGGGTTTAATGCCGCTCTGAACTCTACATTTCGGTTATACAGTAAACTACGTTTATAACGAACACGCGTATAACGTACTGACGGATATAACGAACATATGTTTCGTCCCGGCCATTTGCTGTATATATGATGTGTATATGCTTATAACGAACTACGGTTATATCGAATTTAAATAAGTGGTCCCTTTGAGTTCGTTATAACCGTAGTTTACTGTATCTGTGTGTGTGTGTGGTTTATGTGAGAGAAGAGAACGCTGGCTTAACGCCATTTTTAAGAGTGTTTAATACGTCATATCACGTCAGCTTGACGTGGGAGGGAATCTCGATCTTAGACATTTGCAACAAACCCATGAACACGTGTGGTGCTGATAAATATAGAAACGTAATTAGGGCGAACCTGGACTCGAACACACGGATCCTAGGTTTCCGGGCCGCTCTAAACACTTCGTACTGGTAATTTTCCGTGTGAGGTCAATGTGTGAGAAAAGTAAAGCAGGTTGTTTGGCATATTGATGAAACCCACGGGCAAAGCATAGTACTTACAGACCATGGATCATAGCTGGATCGAACCTGGGAGCCTTGCTGGTGGCTTTAGGTAGTGTAACCTTTGTCAGCCGCCAGATGAAGAACAAGTAAATATACAGGTCAATATATTCCCCGTGGAGATTCCGGGTCAGAATATGTGGAGTAGTTTCAGGTTACTACGAGATAGGTGGAGTGTCAAACAAACAAACAAACAAACAAACAAACAAACAAACAAACAACTGAGTATACCGAGTTTGTATTTAATGTAATTGACAGTTGAAAGAACTGCTGTTTAATTTGATAATGTCTATTTAAAAATCACGCATCCCGGCAACAGTTTTTGAAAACTAATATGTGGCTCGGTAATTTTGTGTAAAAATATAGTGGTTCAACGAAGACTGGCGCAAGAAATGAATTAGCAACCCCTACCGTGTTTGAAATATAAATTTGGACCAAAAAAACCATATTTGATGATTTAAGATATAACGTCTATGAAAGCCATCAGCATTTGTGTATTGTGCAAAAATTCCTTTTTATTATTTAAAAAAAATAATAATTTAAATTTCAAATCGAATTATATTTTGAAAACAAAAACCCAAAACAAGGAGAAGTATTCTTTGAGTTATGACTGAACGCAAGAACAGTTCATTTTGTGGATATAATTCCATAACTTAAAATATTTTCAATTGAAAATCAATGATAAAATCAACTAAAAGGTTGCTCCTTGTGTTATGTTACAAAGATATACGTCATATAGACAGCTACGTGACATAAGCAAACGTGACGTAGACACACGTCATATTGACAGACACGTGACGTAGATAATAATAATGTATATCCTCCGCTAGGTCGGTATACAGGACGTCTAGTGTTCATGTGTACTGGGCGCTCTATACTAGGGCGCGTTGCAAGCCATGAATCGCTCAGAGAAAGCAAATTAATCGCTCACCCTGATGTCTGCAACAGTTCGAAGCGCTTGCCCACTCTTCCAAAATGGCGGCGCAACTAGCGCTTGGTTGCCTTGACGTAATGAAGAACGTAATAGAAGCTGATGGAATTTATGACTACTTTGAAGATGTAGAGCAGGCCGAGGATGATGGGGTCTTCGCTTCCTTTGCTGATTTCCTCGTTGATCCACTCAAGAATTTTTTGTCCCGCTGCAAAGTAAGCCGCCATTTTGGTTTGAGAACGAAGCGACCTCAGCCAGCGATTGTTTCGCTTGCAAGCGGCTGAAAGTTAGCGCACTGTTGTAAGGCGAATCGCTGTACATCGCTTGCAAGCGATTGGCGCTTTGCGACGCACCCTTAGTGTCTGGACCAGACAATGCAGTGATTGACAACATGAGTATCGATCTACGCAACTGTAATCCGATCGTTGACATGCAATCAACCAAGTCAAAGAGCCTGACCACCCCAACCGTTTAGTCGCTTTTTACGTGAAGCATAGTTTGCTGGGGACATATATTCTTTCCTGGAATCCCCATGGGTTGAATTTTCTTGTGAACGACTTGGTAACAATGCACTATGCTTTATGTATGTACTTACTGTTTGATAAACAAGGGCAATATACACATAGTTACACTAAGTAAGAGAAATTGTACATGTTTTTGTAAGTATACACTAGATTTAGTAGAAATGTACTTGTTACACACTATGTTAAATGATTGACTATACACTGCCAGACAAAAGAAAGTACACACTTCAGTCAGCTCAATACTGTGTACGAGGAGATTGCGACCCCATGTTCCCTGAGACGTCATGTGCACGTCACCTGCTGCGAGATACTCATTGATATGGTGGCCCAGTCGTCTAAGGCGCCGCAATTCGCTGTGCAGAGTTGCGTCCCTTGGAAACACGAGAAACCTAAGAGTGTTGGTTCGAATCCCGGTTCGCCCCGATTATGTTTCCAGGTTTGTCAGCACCATACCCGTGCTCGTGGGTTTCACCGAAGTGGTAAACATCTGAGACCTGCATCACTTTCGGGCTTTCCTCCCACATTAAGCTGACACGCCATGATATAACTGGAATACTGTTAAAAGCGACGATAAATCCAACTCACTCATTCACTCACTCATTGATATGATGCGTGTAATATACCTGATGATACCCGTATCAAATACATCACCATCGATAAACTACACCTTTTTCATTGTTTCATTTTTAGCCGCAATCAAACATAAGAGTATACTTTCTTTTGTCCGGCAGTTTACATAATACGCAGGATTAAATAGAACTGTACATAGTGTCATTAAAAATCCGATTTGGTGGAGTGTAATAATGACGTTATACACTGAATTTAGTGGAAGTGTAATTATGGTATTATACACCGAATTTGGTGGAAGTGTAATGATGGTTTTATACACTGAATTTGGTGGAAGTGTAATTATGACATTATACACTGAATTTGGAGGAAGTGTAATTCTGACATTATACACTGCATTTAGTGGAGTGTAATAATGACATTATACACTGAATTTACTGGAGTGTAATTATGACATTATACACTGAATTTGGTGGAAGTGTAATTATGACATTATACACTGAATTTAGTGGAGTGTAATTATGACATTATACACTGAATTTGGTGGAGTGTAATAATTACAATATACACTGAATTTGGTGGAGTGTAATAATGACATTATACACTGAATTTGGTGGAGTGTAATAATGACATTATACACTGAATTTGGTGAAGTGTAATCATGACATTATACACTGAATTTGGTGGAGTGTAATAATTACATTATACACTGAATTTGGTGGAGTGTAATAATTACAATATACACTGAATTTGGTGGAGTGTTATAATGACATTATACACTGAATTTGGTGAAGTGTAATAATTACATTATACACTGAATTTGGTGGAGTGTAATTATGACATTATACACTGAATTTGGTGGAAGTGTAATTATGACATTATACACTGAATTTAGTGGAGTGTAATTATGACATTATACACTGAATTTGGTGAAGTGTAATAATTACATTATACACTGAATTTGGTGAAGTGTAATAATGACATTATACACTGAATTTGGTGGAGTGTAATAATTACATTATACACTGAATTTGGTGAAGTGTAATAATGACATTATACACTGAATTTGGTGGAGTGTAATAATGACATTATACACTGAATTTGGTGGAGTGTAATTATGACATTATACACTGAATTTGGTGGAAGTGTAATTATGACATTATACACTGAATTTAGTGGAGTGTAATTATGACATTATACACTGAATTTGGTGAAGTGTAATAATTACATTATACACTGAATTTGGTGAAGTGTAATAATGACATTATACACTGAATTTGGTGAAGTGTAATAATTACATTATACACTGAATTTGGTGGAGTGTAATTATGACATTATACACTGAATTTGGTGGAAGTGTAATTATGACATTATACACTGAATTTAGTGGAGTGTAATTATGACATTATACAGTGAATTTGGTGAAGTGTAATAATTACATTATACACTGAATTTGGTGAAGTGTAATAATGACATTATACACTGAATTTGGTGGAGTGTAATAATGACATTATACACTGAATTTGGTGAAGTGTAATAATGACATTATACACTGAATTTGGTGGAGTGTAATAATGACATTATACACTGAATTTGGTGGAGTGTAATTATGACATTATACACTGAATTTGGTGGAAGTGTAATTATGACATTATACACTGAATTTAGTGGAGTGTAATTATGACATTATACACTGAATTTGGTGAAGTGTAATAATTACATTATACACTGAATTTGGTGAAGTGTAATAATGACATTATACACTGAATTTGGTGAAGTGTAATAATGACATTATACACTGAATTTGGTGAAGTGTAATAATGACATTATACACTGAATTTGGTGGAGTGTAATAATGACATTATACACTGAATTTGGTGAAGTGTAATAATGACATTATACACTGAATTTGGTGGAGTGTAATAATGACATTATACACTGAATTTGGTGGAAGTGTAATTATGGCATTATACACTGAATTTGGAGGAAGTGTAATTCTGACATTATACACTGCATTTAGTGGAGTGTAATAATGACATTATACACTGAATTTACTGGAGTGTAATTATGACATTATACACTGAATTTGGTGGAAGTGTAATTATGACATTATACACTGAATTTATCGGAGTGTAATCATGACATTATACACTGAATTTGGTGAAGTGTAATAATGACATTATACACTGAATTTGGTGGAGTGTAATAATGACATTATATACTGAATTTGGTGGAGTGTAATAATTACATTATACAGTGAATTTGGTGGAGTGTAATAATTACATTATACACTGAATTTGGTGAAGTGTAATAATGACATTATACACTGAATTTGGTGGAGTGTAATAATTACATTATACACTGAATTTGGTGGAGTGTAATAATGACATTATACACTGAATTTGAATTGTACATAATGTGGTTATACACCGCATTTAGTAACATCGGGTAGCATTGATGGTTGTACGCTACGGTGTCACTGTGACCTGCCTTTCATTGGTGCTACGGTTTAGTAATAAGCACACTCAAAGATCTGACTATGTGTTGACTATATAGATTTTATGTTCGCTTCTTTTTGTTCGCATGATTCTCACCTGAAAAAAGCACCTCTCAGATCAGCTGTTCTACTTATTGGGGCGCTTTGCTTTTACAATGTTGAATGCAGATTGTTACTTGTCATGGATCTGACGCTCGTTCTGCTCGCATATTAAACACTTTCCATATGTTTATGTACTACTTGCATTGTAACAAATGTTATATTTGGGATGACACTTTCTCTGTAAAAGTTCAAATTCTTGTATTCTTTTGGGTTGAGTCCCATCCGGGATTCGAACCCACACACTCCCAGCGGGGCACCTTATCGTCAGCACACAAAGTCAGCGATCTAACCCACTCAGAAAGTATTATCCCAAAATACAAGATTTGTTACATTTGTTACATTGGCATTGTTTATTCACATAATATTTTCATTGTTAATACAATAAATTGTAGAACAGTTTAAACTCACCCTGTTGGTATTCTCTCTTTGATGTGACATGTAGATCCAAACAATACAGGAACAACCTCCGACTGAGTAACTGCTGCTCTAGTATTTACCTGCAGAGTCAATCAGTACCAGTTGCTAACCTGCAGAAGTAGCTCGCCTTGAATACAAGTGCCCATGTTTATTCTCAGCAGATCCTGGTGAAGCGAGGCGAGGCGAAATGGGGTTAACGTCGCATTCAAGTTTATTGCACTTATATAGCCACGTTTATGTGGTGTGCGTGGCGTGTGTGTAATGTGTGTGCGTGGTGTGTGTGTCTCTGTGTGTGGTGTTTGTATGTGTCTGTGAGAGGTGTGTGTCATGTGTGTTTCTGTGTGTGCATGGTGTGTGTGCGCGTGTGTGGTGTATGTGTGTGTGTATGTGTGGTGTGTGGGTGTACGTGGTGTGTGTGTCTGTGAGAGGTATGTGGGGTGTGTGTTTCTGTGTGTGCGTGGTGTGCGCGCGTGCTGTGTGTGGTGTGTGTGATGTGTATGTGTGTGTATGTGTGTGTGTGGTATGAGTGTACGTGGTATGTGTGTGTGTGTTTGTGTGAGTAGGGTATGTGCGTGTGGGTGGTGTGTGTGTGCGCGGGGAGTGTGTGTGCCTGATGTGTCTATGTGTGTGTTTCGTGTGTGCGTGGTGTGCGCGCTCTTGGTGTGTGTGTATTGTGTGTGGTGTGTGAGTGTGTCTATGTATCTGTGTGTGTGGTCTGTGTGTGTTTTGTGTGTGGTGTCTGTGTATGTATGTGGTCTGTGCGTGTTTTGTGTGTGGTGTCTGTGTATGTATGTGGTGTGTGTGTTTTGTGTTGCGTGTGTGTCTGTGGGTGGGTGTCTGTAAATATAAATATATATAGTGTGTGTTATTACTACGCCACAGAGGGGGTCACCTGGCAGACGCCTTGTCCATTACACCACGAGAGACGGTCTCCCTTTTTTAAGAAGCACTCGTACAATCTACCATCACTGTCGTGTAATGTACTG